TTATTTAACTCACCGCTACAGCAACATTAACACGGTTTACAACAATTGCCATAGCGTTAATTAACACAGCTGCTTCCGCACAAAAGCACCGGTTTAACAACTTTAATATTTCAGGAAAAGTAACTTTGGATAGTTGTTTCCCAGGCCTCAATCCATGGATAATTCCCAGACACCCCTTAGAGGCTAGCACAAGCCCTACACTTTAACACAACTTTCCCACCCCACAGCGACTCAACTTTAGATAAATAAAACAGTTATCTAGCTTTTAGTTTAACCTCTGGAGCAAGTTTGCGCACTTTTCGCAACAGTTGTCAACTTTTCCTACCTGCACGGAGTCGGCGGCCATCTTGGTTTTCGCCTTTGAATCAAATCCTACGGGGAGAGAGGAGGGGAGGTGGATGTCCAAAAACAAGCCTTGTTTTAAGTTTCCCTCTCTGGCGACAAAAAAATTATTCGGACCAAATCCTCGGTCATCTCGGGTACACGGTCCTTCCCATGTCGTCTTCACACTTCATTGACGCGGTCACACCGTCATGAAGGCGGAGGGTGGACTGGTGTTCATAAATAAAAAAAGCTGAGGCATAAATCTGTCCCAGTGCAGTTGGAGAAAGAGGCGGTGGTTAGAGAGGAGAGTCCGCCCAGAGGAGCTGCAGTGCCGCCGCTGCTGCTCCAGCCCGGACAGCTACACACGTGATCCACACTGCTTACAGGCTGGCCTTACCTCATGCTCACAGCCTCATCCCGGGGTAAACACACACATGGAAAAAAGGGGATACTTGGTCAGAGTGATTCATTTTGGAGTTGAAATGTAAACAAAATTAATTAAAAAAACGCACAAACGCATTGCAGATGTAAAATAAGTTCTTAGTTGTGTGCATTTCATTAGAGGTGAAAGGAGAATAAGTATTTACATCCCTTAATTTAATAAAAAAAAGTAGAGTAGAAAAGTGATGATACATGTATAAAAAAAGTGCTCAATCACAAGTGATACATAATTAATTAATTTTCTTTTGAATAGTTATTTTATTCTAGATTTATGAAATGTATTATTGTTTTTCATACACTTAATTGAATTCCTTTCTTTTTCCTTATCCTTATAAAAACTAAACAAAAGTAATCGGGAAAAAACATGGGGCTTTTTCTTTCTATATTCCAACATGTTGTTATTTTATTATTTAAATGATTTTTATTATTTTATTCACATTTGTTTTTTCTTTATATTTCCACATTTTTAAATTATTGTTTTAAAGATGTTTTCTTTTGATGGCACTCCTTTAATTCCATAAAGAACTTCAGACAGTCATCTATTTAATATTGATCAACAAATAATATTAAAATCCAAAGGATAATGCAGATGCTGTCACAAATTGCTGACATCCTGAGGTGCAATGCAAACCACAGCAGCTTTATTAAATACTTAACAAGTCACAGTTTACTTTGAGTTGCTGAGCCAGATAGATGAGAAGGAGCTGCTGTGAAGAAACCACAGGACAAACACTGAAGCCTCCTCAGTGGGGCCGGGTCAGACATGTCACAGCCCAGTGAAAAGACTTAGCCTACTGCTGCATTACATAACCTTCAGGGACACAGTCATCACAAGCCATACTTCTCAGAGACTGGGCTCTCTCTGGGCTCATGTCTCAAATATGTATTGGCGAGGGACAACGACGCAGGTTCCTCACTCATAAACTCAGCATTGTCCACATCATAAAAATGGTCTTGTTGGGCAGACTTATGAATGATGTTCTCCTGTTAAAATCCCCACACAGTGACACTCCCCAGAGGTCGTGATGCTTTTGTCTTTCATGATTGGATCAATATGGACTATCAGCAGTATACACATTATGGTTGCAGTGGTGTGCAGATATGATGTGGACGGTGTAATGCTGCTCTATCTGGTTGGTTAACCTGTGGCCTTCATCAGAAAGACACATGTATGTGTATTCTGTATTTATCCGGCTGTTAGTTGAACGCCGTGAAATGCTGTGGTGTTTTCTGTAATGCTGTTGCGTTTTCTGAAATGCTGTGGCGTTTTCTGAAATGCTGTGGTGTTTTGTGAAATGCTGTGGCGTTTTGTGAAATGCTGTGGTGTTTTGTGAAATGCTGTTGTGTTTTCTGAAATGCTGTAGTGTTTTCTGAAATGCTGTGGTGTCTTGCACTTCAGGGCCACCGTAGTTATGACCTGTAATAAACCTAATGATTATTGCTGCGATGAATGAGATGATTACTGAGTTTTATTGGGCAGGGACGTATTATCCCACGAGGTTGTAAGAATAAGAGGAATCCTAATGCACTAGGAGGCCTATGAGACCCAAACTATTTGGAGTTCTGTTTTAAGTCCCGTTTTACACTAAATCCTGTGACATTAAGATTTAGCGAGGCCGTATTTGTGTAGCCCAATCCCGTAAACTAGGATTGCAATGGCTCCCTTGACGAAAGGCCAATGGATTTTGGAATATTGCAAAAAAATATAATCTGTGGCAAACACACGTTTATGATACTTACATTATTATAATATACAATGAGGCTGTAAAAGCCAACTAGTCATGACCTTAGTCATTTATTTCAATTCTGTTCATATCTATATTTATTTTAAATTATTTTGATTATTATTAGTTTTTTACTGAATATATGTATTCATAATTACATGTCCATAAATAAGCTTTTTAATGTATAACCAAACTGTTGTTCCTTGATTGACTTAGACGTTTAAATTAAGAAAGTTGTGGGGGAAAAAATAAAAAGGTACAATACACATTTTTCATACAGCAGTGTGAATCTCTGATTTTGGTTAGTGTTGAGTCCTTCTGGACAGCTACTACACTCTGACCCCCTGATCTCACCGGAAGCGTCTGCGCTGCGGCTGCGCCGCGCTGCGACCTCCTCCTGCGTCATAACCCACCAGGCGCGTTTCAAAACGTTGTGGAAGCGGAGCGTCGTGTGTGCAGCCTCGCAGTATGCCACCAGACCCGCTGCGCTGCGCTGCGTCAAAAATAGGATTCATCCTATATTTTTGAAATTCCTTGCGGCGAGGAGCTTCTGGGACGCTTCGAGCCGCGGCGCAGCGGGTCTGGTGGAATAGCACCCATTAACTACTAGAGTGGCCGCGATCGCTAAAAACGCCGCAGCGCAGACGCTCCTGGTGGGATTAGGCGGGGGTGAGGCTCCAAAGTACTGAAAAAAGTACTCTGTAGTGACTTCCATAATAAAACCATGTGGGATGTATACACTCAGGTTGGCATCCTTCTTTGAAATGTAATTAAGTATGACTCCACATTTAACTTATTTTAATCACCATATCACTAATGAAAATGGTGAAGAACACACACACACACACACACACACACACACACACACACACACACACACACACACACACACACACACACACACACACACACACACACACACACACACACACACACACACAGCTGGAAGCCGGCGCAGCTCTTTATCTCCCTCTGCAGGATACCAGCGCTGAAACAATCCAGCTTCCATTTCCACAGCAGCTTTATTTGTCTTTACGATACGATATTACTTTATTTGTCAGATCAAGTCTGAAATGTTACCTCTACTGCTGTGAAAATGATAAATATTTCATATAAAAAAACACCTGCATCTCTGGCAGTGTTAGTATATATTGTTAGGATGGCAATTAAAAGATGTAAACAGCCATGTGTTTTTTTTTTCACATGTGGCCCTAATCTTTTTCAGTGAAACAGCAATAAATCCAACCTTCAGGGAATAAATAAATAAATAAAGTACCAACCGTTCCACCATATTATATGTGGAAACTTGCATCTATTTATGAAGTAAGATGAGAGTATTGATGCTGTAGCAGGGTTAGCTTAGCATAAAGCCTGTAGCCTCACGCATTTAATAACAAAACAAAAAAACACATTTCCCAAAATGTCAGCATATTAAAGAGTCAGACTAACATACAGGTGGACACTAATGGAGCAATCACAACACACCAGTCGACTGATTGCTAAGTCTACTGGCAGAAGAATTATGGGCATCTCCATCCATCCATCCATCCATCTTCTCCCGCTTATCCGTGGTCGGGTCGCGGGGGTAGCAGTTCCAGCAGAGAGCCCCAAACTTTCTTTTCCCTGGCGACATCAACCAGCTCTGACTGGGGGATCCCAAGGCGCTCCCAGGCCAGCGAAGAGATATAATCCCTCCACCTGGTCCTAGGTCTACCCCTTGGTCTCTTCCCAGCTGGACGTGCCTGGAACACCTCCCTAGGGAGGCGCCCAGGTGGCATCCTAACTAGGTGCCCGAACCACCTCAACTGGCTCCTTTCGACGCGAAGGAGGAGCGGCTCAACTCCGAGTCCCTCCCTGATGACCGAACTTCTCACCTTATCCCTAAGGGAGACACCAGCCACCCTGCGGAGAAAACCCATCTCGGCCGCTTGTATCCGCGATCTCGTTCTTTCGGTCATGACCCATCCTTCATGACCATAGGTGAGGGTAGGAACGAAAATGGCCCGGAAGACCGAGAGCTTTGCCTTCTGGCTCAGCTCCCTTTTCGTCACAACGGTGCGGTAAAGCGACTGCAGTACCGCTCCCGCTGCTCCGATTCTCCGGCCCATCTCACGCTCCATTGTTCCCTCACTCGAGAACAAGACCCCGAGATACTTGAACTCCTTCACTTGGGGTAAGGACTCATTCCCTACCTGGAGTGGACAGTCCATCGGTTTCCTGCTGCTTATGGGCATCTATCTTCATAATTAAAATGAATCCCTAAAGTAATTTTTCATGCAAAATGTTGTGGTCAGCTTCATATTAAAGTGAATATCTTTGGCTTTAAGACCAACAAAACATTTAGAGATATCACTTTGGACTTACAAAAAATGGGAGAGAACAAACATTGAATTGATAAATTCTGAAAATAATCAGCAGATTAAAAAATAATGAAAGTAGTTACAGCCAAAGTGGACGCAGATGTTTAACTGGTTCGACAATGAAAATGACAAAAGAAAATGCAGTCTTGAATTTAGAATTTGAAAGAAATGTACAAACTGTAATTTTAATATGGTTAACAGTTTTGTTTTCATACCATGGAAAAACTGTCAGTAGATGAATAGGACTGAGAAAAGTAGTAAGTATTTACAGCAGCAGCATCTTCACCTGTGTTTTTGTACCCTCGATAATATTCTTCATTACGGAGGAAAGGCCTCTGAACATTTACACCCAGCATCAAGTACAGTATAAAACATACGTATGTGTCCCAGTAAATAGTCCATGGTCACAGGATTTTTATTTCATAAAAACCTCAAACGTTCTCATCATTCAAGTCCAATAATACAGCACAGTAGTCGTACACTTCAAATCTCTTTAAGTTAGTAGTAGTGGTGAGGCATGGAGAATGTCACCGTCTTTACATACAAAAGACAACCTTAGCAAAGAGTTAAACCACAACCAAACACAACCAAACATTACAGAGCCGATGACAATGTTTTGGAGCTGGACAGGCCGTCTCCCGACGCGTCAGACCACCTTTGACATGAGGGGGAGTGGAGGCTGCTGGGAAAAAAAACCTGCTGATGAAACACGAGTCCAGTTGGCTGGCACAGGCGTGTCAGAGCTCTCAATACAATGTTCTACAGACAGCCACATGTAGTCTTTATGTGTCCTTTTTCATCTCAGGCCGCACATCTGCCACGTGTCCGTCTACTCTTCAGTTTTTGGGGTAGATCTTCTCGTAGAAGAAGTTCTGTGCCAGCAGGTAGAGCTCCCCGTCCTTTTCCCTGACAGCATGTGCCCGGACAAACTGGAACTGCTCCAGTGCAAATTCGTAGAAATCGTTCTCCATCTTCCAGATGGCCGACTGCTGCAGCTTGGCGATGGACTCCTTCGTGGGCGGCTTCTTCTCGCTCGTCTTCCTCAGGTGGGATTTCTTCCCTGTGAGGATTACAGAGGAGAGGAGGATTAAAGTGGTGCAGGTACATTCAGCATTACTTTGATTTTGCAGTAGTTTTTCCCTTTCACTGCTCATGTGCAAAAAACACTTGCCTGCAATTTATACCTTGTTACTTTTACAATGTATTTACAATGTGTTAGTGTTACAGGCTCAGTCAGTACTTGTATGTTACCTTACTTTTTCTGAATTCTGCTACTTATTTTTTACCGTGTAGTACTTATTCGTTTTTTTAGCTATTCGTTTATATTCTTACTAACGTGTGCTTATCTTTTTATTTGATGTGCAAGTCTACTCTTTTTTCTTTTGCCTTTCAACTCATTGTACTTGTGCTGCTGTAGAGCCGTAGAGTTCCCCGATTAAGGACAAATAAAGGATTTTGAAAAAGGTTTCAAAAAATCATTGGCTCTATTTACAGGTGTCAAAAGTATCTACAACCAAGGAGTGTCATTGTTAACCCACAGAAAACAGGCGTCTGACATAGCATCGTGTTTTTGCTCATAACTGCTCATATTAAAATTGGGCTGAAACATGCAAAATTCAAGGATTGGATAATGGGGTAAAACATTGGTACAGGATACTTTGAGTGACAAGTTATATCTTGCATTTACACTTAAATTCAAACGCATGGCTCGGTGCAGGTGAAGTTACAAAATAACTCAATCCAAGGGCAGATCTTTCAAACCTGTCCAATCTGTTCTATATCTTTTTTAAGGCCCATCTTTAATGGGGCTCTTTCTTGCTTTTTGGGGTTTCCCTTTCCTGTAGTGTGTTCTATAGGTTTTAGTGCATGTAAATGGTCTGCAAAGGCTAAAATCCCTGTGTTCCTTTCTCCTACACTAGGGCCCCTTTAACTCATAGTCATACAAGCTATACCTCAGAAAAGCTACATTCAGAATACAAAGATCTGTTTTTTTGTTGTTTGTGGTTAGGAAACAGGACTGCATGACTTCATAACGACAGATTTAGACTTTCAACGAAAAAAATATAAATCCCTGATTAACTTGAGTACTTTAGTGTATCTAAAAAAGACGAACATCATACTTCATAGCACCTCTATGTCACTGTCACATTTAATTCCTCTGTGCTCTCCGTTATTCATTCTGGCTGCACTCGCTCTAACTAATCTGTAACTACATCAGCGAGAGGCATGAGTGCATATTGATCACGATTCAATTCTCAGAGGGCCAATTCAGACTGCACAAATGCAACCACAGCACACTGTAGGACTGCAATGTGAGTAAGCTCTTAAGAGTATTAGAATATTGGGGGAGGGAACCAAAAACATGCTTATGATAGCGAATGTTTTTAGGTCTTTATCAGACATGGCACCTGTTTTGTAGAGCTCCGTGGCTCCTTTGAAGAAGCGTGGCAGCGCAGCCTCCAGCATCATCACAAAGTCCTCCAGCTCCTCTGTGACTCCCACCAGCAGGTACTCGTTCACCAGGTTGTACTTGGCCTGCTCCAGAGCCCACTGGCTGCCCACGTTCCTGAACACATCATGTTGTTTGTATGTGGTTAGATGCTTTGTATTCTGCTGAAATGATTACAAGGTTTGTAAAGGACAGAGAGTGTGGGAGGAACAAGTGAATGCTTTTCTTCACATTCAAAGCTTCTATTGAGGATTTCAAATGAAGCTTTGAATGTCTGTGATATTTTGTGACATCAACAGCTTAGAATACATTTTTTAAATTCCATCATTTTAAGATAATGATATATCATAATAAACGGGTTAGCCTTTTCTGTTTTATTAAAATCAAATGTCTTGTATGAATATAATGAAAAATATGAATCAGTGTGTCGTTCCTTTTGTCCGGGAAGCAGGAGAGCAAACAGCTTTTTGGACTGCAGTGAAAATGTTGTTTTTGAAAGGCTAAAAACGGCAAAATATATGGGTTGAAGAATTATTTGTATTTTTATTTGTATTTACATTTGGGTTAGGGTTACATATACAAATCTTAGTCAGCACTGAATCTTATTCTACAAACAGTATCATATTTGTAATATGAATGTAGTCATATCCCATCTATGGAGAAATACCAGCTTACAACACTATCAGAATCAGGTTTACACACACAAGGAATTTGCCTTGGTGTAAAATAAATAGAGATGCAAAATAAAAGAACTGAAAACCATTTTGATTGTTGATTAAGAATTTGATCGTCAAAGTTATGAATAAAGCTTCCACGTTTCCAAATATTCAGTGCAGCCCTAGTGAACTGAAAGAAAAAACAGTGAGAGGAAAAAGAATGAAGTGAGAGGAGCAGAAGACAGAGGAGAAAGACAGGAAGGAGTGGAAAAGAAATGAATCTGCGGCAGGTGTTGTCCTGGTCAGGAAATGAAATGATAGGGAAGGAAGTCGATTGTTTAAACCTATAAAGTGACTGTTTGGCAGAGCCTAGTTAAACACAGCATTACAGGACATTTTGATCTTTAGTGTTTATTTCATGTTTCCAAGGTGCAAACGCGCTACAATTGCCCAAAACACTTCCGTTAGAAAAACCGTGCTCCACCTTCAGAAACGATGCATATATAAAAACACAAATGTGCCAAAACGCAAATGAAGAAACATCTTCACCAACTTGATAACACATGCGCAGCATTTAGAAACATTCACCAACTTGATGAATCCTGTGCAGCGTTTACTAAGCTGCACAAACCAAAAGCTGCAAGAAGCTCAAAACACAACGGAAGCGGGGAAACTTCAAAGTGACGCACACAGCTGGGACCGAAACGCTTGGTGAAGTTCAGGCATTACAAAGTTGGCCAACAATCACTGTCACTGGATACTTACCTAAAACTTTACCTAAAAATATGCCAATAAAAACGTTTTATTAAGGCATAAGCTAGCTAACGTAGCTAACCTAGTCATATCGAATATACTGACAAAACACTTACAATTACGAGTTAGCCACGTTTCTAATCCCGAAAGGCAACAAGGGCTCTGGAATTTTTTTCTAAAAGTTGGTGAAGATGTTTCTTCATTTGCTTGTTTTTGGCACATTTGTGTTTTTAGATTTGCATCGTTTATGAAAGTGCAGTATATTTTGCGTTGTTGTAGCGCGTTTGCACGGGTCGGCCACCGTAGGTTAGTGCACCAGACTGAAGTCAATCTTAAGACCTTCAGTTGGTACTCTGCGTCATGAGTGTGGATGGTAAAAGGTAAGAGGGCAGAGTGAAGGAGAGATGAGAGAGGCTAAGAGGGATCAGTGAGGGCAGAGAGAGATTGATACAGATCATCATGGAGAGAGAAGGATGGAGGCTAAGAGTGCTACAGAGACCTTGAGAGGATGAGGGGAGCAGAAGTGATAGAGAAGGACGATGAGGTTTAATGTGCTGCATAATGAAAGAAAACTAATACAGCATGTGATCTGCCTCAGGTGAACATTGCCTGCAAATATTTCTCATCAAAACCATTTTAACCGGCAGCGATGCAAATTTTGACTTTTCAATTCTAGGTAAAACTAAGTAAGTAAAGGTCAATTGTTGTATATCCTAAGCTACTGTAAGTTTTATTACGAAGTGGAGTCCCTAAACCCGGGAATTTGTCAGCATTTTACCACTCGCTCAAATGACCATTGTCTTAGCGTATTATTTGTTCTGTGTGAAAGCATTATGACAATAACAACAGTAAGAACATTTATATTGTTGTGCAAGTAAAGAAGAACAGCCCTGGTGTCTACAGGCATGTAGCTGCTTATCTGTGGCACATGACTCCTTGGCCAGTCCTTCAAACTTAGGGAATTTCAAAACACCAAGAATAAAGTTTCATTTTTACAGAATGCTATGTTAGGGACTATTTTCAGCCATGGATTTATACACTTGAGATGTGCACTCGTGAGAAGAAAAGTTGAAACATGAATCATCGGATTTGATCGAACATAAAACTGTGTTTGACTCACATGCCGTATATTATATTACAACTGTTTTTATTTGATTCAATATTTTGGACTCAACTAACGTGGTTTCTCACAGGTTGTTCAGCACACGATGCTGAAACCTGGTTAGAAAGGTGCTATAGAAATAAGGTTTAGCTTGCAATCAGAACAAATGGGTTTATCTCCAGCCTTATGAAAAATAAGCAGACAGACAAACAGAAAACAACTAAAGAGAAGCAAAACCAAGCATGATTTCTGTCATTTTAAAAACAAGACTATACTCAGACTGATGTTTGAACACTCACCAGCACTCAGAGTAGTGACCACAGAAAAAGGGAATCTGCAGCCAGAGCTTCTCAGGGGCACAGTCTGAGCCGCCGGCTGACACACATTCATCAAATGTCTGGAGCACAAACCAAGAGAAAACACACAAAAAATGGAAACGTGATATTTTAATTTGTCAGTATTAACGATTGAAAGTTGTAGATCTATCTTTTGAAACAAAACAATAAGAGTATGGATGGATGTTTACCTTCTTGTCTCCTTGTTTCCTGCGCCTCAAGCCGGGCCTGTAGTCATCCCCAAAACGCAGGAAGTAGTAATACGACACCAGCCTCTCTATGGGGTCCCGGATCACGTTTATGTAGATGGGCTTCCTCTTCACTCCAAACCTGAAATCATTTACATTAGGGATTGCACACATGCAACAGGACTGATCCAACTATAAAGCTAACTTATAAAGATCCAGAGTTTGCAGATTTAAGAGTTCAACACCATTTTTGCTGAGGTCGGAGGATCAGTGCTACTGTACATTCAGATATTTATACACGAAACTGTGAAAGTGTGAATTAGTCCAACTGAAGCAGACATCATGTTAGAGAGGCTGTGAGACTGAGAGAAAAATCTATCCCATGTTCTCCGGGAATGTTTTGTGGTTAGCCACTATTCAGAAACTATCAGAGATAGTTGAAAAAAAGTTGAAATGATTATGTACATTGCTCACCTTGTGTTATGGTACATTCTTAAAGGGGCCCTATTGTTTTCATTTTCAGGTTCATATTTGTATTTAGTGCCTCTACTGTGGCATGTCTCCATGCTTTAATGTTCAAAAAGCTCTTTATTTTTCTCATGTGCTGCAGCCCCTCTTTTCACCCTCTGTCTGAAACCAGAGTTGGAGCGCAAGCTAATAAAAGCCAATGTTACGTAGTGATGTCACTATGTTAAGGATGTTAACAAAGGAGTCCAATGGAGGTGTTTCAGGCGGGGGGGAACTTTGGGATTTTAGCCTTTTCTGAACGTTTACATGCAAACAAAACAATATAACACACTACAGGAGAGGCAAAACCCCCAAAAGGCACAATAGGGCCCCTTTAAAAGTAAAACCCTGAGTTAAGGGTCAAAAAGCTGAGATGTATTTGATAAATTAAAGTAACATTGGGTTGGATTTAACAGCAGCAGTGTATCAAACTTGTGAACTATTATCCAAGTGTCATTTATCAAGTGATGGGCTCATTACTGAGTACACTTTGGAATCGTCCAGACGGGTAGCCATCTGCGCCAGTGTGAGACTCTTTTATTAAGTGTTTTAAATAGTGCCGTTTTAGTCAAAATTAATTTGTTATTGGAACTAGTTAGCATATGACATACGAATAAATTAGACGTGGGTTTATACTGCATGGGTTGTGTGAGAGGTTGTAAACGATGTTTTGATGTTAAAGATGGCTTCCATTTACTTTCATTCATGAGATTTTTTGATTCTTTGTTGTATGTACAGTAAAGGGAACGCAAAAGACAACATTTCCCCCCAGAATTCAAGCTAACATGGGGCGAGTCACTCATGTACAGTTCTTGTACCAGAGGACAGCAAGGCAGGGAGCACAGACAGGCAGAAGGGGGGAGGGGTCGTCACACTGGGTAGGAAGCATCAAAGCATATTTTTGTTGAAAAACGCTGGTCTCCAGTAAAAGTCATTTCCAAAAATGGTGGAGTCAAGGACATTAGCACACTGGTTTTATGTGAGGCATAACCTTTTCTTAATGGAGACATTTTAAATGTTTAGGAGACTTAAGTCATACATATTAAATAGATGTTGGAAAGGATGAATTGAGTTTATCAACCCAAAGTAGAATGGGTTTCAGGTAAAAAAGCACCAGTTGTATTCTAATCCTCGCATTCTTTCAGCTCTATTATGCCGTCAACAGATTACATTTCCTTTTTATTGGTTGTAATTTTAGTTTTTTTTGTCAATCGTAGACTGATTTGTAAATTCAAATTCCTTACGAACAAACAAAGCCATAAAAGACGTGAATGATCACAAGGGGGAGACCCTACACAAAACCACAGCAGGGTTAATTCACTGTTTTTAACTGTTGTCGTTATATTTCAAGACAAAGTATTTACTTTGTGAAGTCCAGGAAGGAGACGTGTCCGTGGTAGAAGGCCGGCTTCATTTCTCTCCACTCAGTCACATTCTTTACAAACCGCATCTGGAACAAATACAAATTGTCATTGCAGTGGATCAAATATATTTTGAGTTCCGTTCTAATTCTGTGCTGCAGCTAGTTTGGTTCACAGGTGGTCCAACTTGCAAACCACTAAAGAACCAGTTTGCTTTTCCACTGACCAGAGGTGGGAGGAGCCAAGTCATGACGTGACCTTTGACAACATAGATAATGGATTGTATAATGTGAAGTATCTCTTGTCTTACATGGATGAAGTTTGCCTAGCCACTAAAACTAGTCTGACTTATCAATTAAAAGATTTAAAGCCAACAATATATCAAATTCCAAGTCATGGAACAATAACGAGGCACAGGTATGGCAGATCAATTATTCAGCAAACTGGTTGTTATTCAAAGTATGGGGAATAATAAGTTATATGTTAGACGTATGCCTGGTTCATGTTTTTCCCCACGTTTATATGTGTGTCTAGCCATTTTGCAATCTTGGCGCTACTGCTTCTGAAACAGAAGTTTTCTACTCTCACCATTTACTGTGCCAAGAGCCAGCGCTGCTGCAGTGGGAACACTAAAAAAGCGGTTCACAATAAAGCACTCCAAACCGGCCCTTGGACCACATTCGTTGTAATGCAAACCTCAACATCAATTTAAATAATAAAAAAGTATGTTAAAGAAACCTGTTGCTAGAGCAGCTCCTTTTTAGTCTATGTTTTGGTCTTAGCAAAATAAGATTTCTTGAGTTGATTTGTCGATGTTATGCTTTTTGTTCTTCCTGAATGACTCATTTCAAAGACATTAATGAGCTCATTTCTGGTAAACGAGACATTTGTGTGGTGTAGAGACTTTTTTCAGACAAAAGAAAAATAATATTTGCGGCCCCACGCTTAATAATCTAGTAATGCACTGAAAAGAGGGAACGATGTTTGCTTTCCTAGTTTGTAATCAAAGTTTACTCATCTTAACCGGTTACATGACCAAGTTGCACCAATTGGATCGCCAGGAATACATACACAGTGTCTACGGACAAACTGTTATTGAGGTTTGACATGATCTTTTGTGCAAATGACCTGTGTCTCATTTATTTCATTTCTTTGTGCACGCTATTTTTCAGAAATGTTTTAACAAGAGGTAAGGTAATGTCCCCAGCGTAAATAACATCTATACAGATCTGTCCACTGTTCGTGGAGTAAGAATTTTGTTAGTTGAGGACCTCCCTACAGCGGGGCGTGTCTCTGACCTGGTCCTGTATGGACATGACGGGGATTGTTCTTGGTGGTGTTGATGTGCAGGACGTGGTAGTGGTTCTTCCCACACAGGTCGTAGGCGATGTTGGTGAAGGATGTGCTGGCCGTCTTGGGCACGCGGTTGTAGATGATGACGAGGTCGTCTTCGCCCTCCGACGGCGAAGAGGCCGCAGAGTCCCGCTCCCGCACGCCGTCCTGCGTGTGCCGGTGCTCGATCTCACGCACCTCGTGTCTGGCAATGGCTCGTTCTGGAGGGGAGAGAGGAGGATGGATACAGGTGAGTTTTGCTTTAATGCTTCAGGATAGGAGGAATCAGCACAAATGTCCTTCAGAGATTTTCCTAATACCAGATTCAAAGGTTTTCTGGTCAAATGTACAAGAGCTACAGCGTAGTTGTTGCTAAGGAAATCTGAAGTCCCAAGCTCCTCCAACAATGCAACATAAATTGCAAAAAGACAGAAAATAGTGCCAGGGACACAATCGTGCAAATAAAATCCAGGAGCTATAAACTATTTAAATGTTAAATAAAACAAGATCAAACAGAATGTTAAATGTAATACTATGCAGTGGACTGCTTATTGTAATAAAATATGATATCTGGAGCAAGGTTATAGCAGTTTAAATATTTGTATTAATTGTGACTTTTTGATTTTGATTTAGTTTAAGTTAGTTTGCTAGTTTGTTCCTCAGAAATATTTGTATTAGATTTTTTAAGACAACAATCAAACATCTCACTTTAGCGCTTTTGATAGTTTTAAAAATGTTTAGGATTTGGGAAAGATTTATATATTCAAGTTGTTTTTTCGGGTAGGATATATTTACTTGGACCTATTCAGCTACATTAACATACAAAACACATGGTTGGAGAACTGTGTAGAAATGGTCATTTAGCATCTGTGTGAAGAAATTCCAACATAACGCCATCTCCAATGTCAAGTTTCTGTGTTTTCATTTCACAAATGCATACAGACATTCTTTGCCGTCTACTTTTTCCGGTAGTGAGACATCGTAGCAAAACCCAAACAGTAATAAATGTATGTTTTGAGTACGTTTATGTAATGTATATTATTCGTTTTTTTTTTACCAGGCAATAAGGTTTCAGTTTAGTTTAGTTTTATGAGTTTTTGTTTACCAAAATTATAATTTACTTTTAGTTGACATAAATAACCCTGTGCTGGAGCTGCTATTAAAAGTGCTAGAAAGAATGATATACTTACGTAAACAGTCTTAAGTGTAAATGGGTAGAAAGAAAGAAAAATACCAGGAGCAACCACCATGTTTAAATACTGGTCAACATTTGACACACCGCAAAACTACTACAGTATATGCTTTGATGGCACTCAGCTGTTTCCCATCTGACATCTCTGCTACATCTCCAGGTTAAATGAAACCTGACAAAGACACTGTTCCGTCCTTGTCAGAAGTAGCAGTGCTTTGTGAGAGACTAAACTTTGATTTCCATTTGATTCAAACATGAAACACCCTTTCCTTCTTCACACCAAGGTTTAAGAATAATGTCATACAGGAATATCAGTTAATCATTTTGTTAGCAGCCTATTTCACGCTGCAATACCACCTCTCTTAGCTAATCAGATTCCACTTTAATATCAGTCTCCTACCTTCACTCTCACTCTCCTCATTTAACCGCAGACTGAAGTGTCCGTGCGCTCCCTTTTGAGATCAAATAAATGTACCCTCATATGGCCGAGTACATGTGTCTGTGCTTTAGACGGACTCTAATTGACATATCCAGCCTGGTTTCTCTTCTGAGAAAAAGTGTCCTGTAACCAGGGTCAAGAGTGAAGAGGCGAGGGTCAGAGGTCGGTAGCTTGATCGTAAGGCTACAGTTATTTGATCGCAGACGGGATGTCACCGGGTAAAGATGTTTCTGACATGTATGATCCATGCAGTAATGAATCTTCACAAATATGTAGTTGAGATCCAAATGAAGGCGGGCTTAGAAAATGGTGGTCCTTAGCAGTGGTGGAACGTAAGCAAGTACATTTCCGCAAGTACCGTACTTAAGTAAAACGTTTTTTCACATTATGTTCATTTATATACTTTGACTTCACTTCATTATGTGGGAAAATGTTTGCACTTTTAACTCGGCTTAATTTTTTTACTGCATTAGTTACTACTGATTTTGCAGATTTCATTTATTAATACAAAATACAAACCAACTAATAAATGATTTAATTAAACTGTATTATATATTAAACTACCCAGCTGCAAACGTAAAAAGTTATGTACACATTGCATGTATTAATAAAGGTACAATCATTTAATATATTTTAAATATATACGATTCTGAAATTGGCCCTACTAAATAAAAAGTACTTTTGGTACTTTAATTGTATTGTCATGCTACTCAAACATTGTTACTTGAGTAATACTTTGAATGCAGGACTTTTAGGTAACAGGGCATTTTTACACTGTTGTATTGCTACTTTGAATCAAGTAAAAGAGTACCAGGGAGTGGGACATCTCTAAGTGGACTCTGACCTGAGTTTCAACAGTCACATTAAAACAGTTACTAAATCAGCCTACTATCACCTAAAGAATATATCTAGGATTAAAAGACTAATGTCACAGCAGGATTTGGAAAAACTTGTCCATGCTTTTATCTTCAGTAGACTCGACTACTGCAATGGTGTCTTCACAGGTCTCACTAAAAAATCTATTAGGAAAGCTGCAGCTGATTCAGAACGCCGCTGCTCGAGTCCTCACTAACACTAAGAAAGTGGATCACATCACTCCATGTTCTGAAGTCTTTACACTGGCTTCCTGTGTGTCAAAGAATAGATTTCAAAATACTGCTGCTGGTTTATAAAGCACTGAATGGTTTAGGCCCAAAATACATTTCTGACCTCCTGCTAAATTATGAACCATCCAGATCTCTCAGGTCTTCAGGGACTGGTCAGCTTTCTGTCCCCAGAGTCAGAACTAAACATGGTAAAGCAGCGTTCAGTTATTATGCTCCAAATATCTGGAACAAACTCCCAGAAACCTGCAGGTCCGCTGCAACTCTGACTACTTTTAAATCCAGGCTGAAGACTTTTCTTTTTGTCGCTGCTTTTAATCGAACTATTACTGCACTGTAACTTTTATCCATGTATTTTTTCTTTTAATGTTTATTTTATTAGCTTTTCTTTTTAATGATGCCATTTTCTTAATGTCTTTCATTTTTTGTAAAGCACTTTGAATTGCCTTGCCTTGCCTAAGTGGTTGACCAATCACAACAGAGCCGGCCAGCTAACCAATCAGAGCAGTCTGGGCTCTGGTTTCAGACAGAGGGTGAAAAGAGGTGCTGCAGCACAGGCAGTATGAGACAAAGAAAGAGCTTTTTGAACATTAAAGCATGAAGACATGTCCCAGTAGACTCTAGGAACTAAATACAAATATGAACCTGGAAATGAGTATAATATGTCCTCTTCAAATAAGTGACTTTACCTTTTAAACTCTTCAGGGCCAAACAAAAAAATCAATAAGTGTACCATCATGTGGCCAAGTACGTTCCTGTGCTTCACTTGAATAGATGTATCCAACCTTGTTTCCTCTTCTGGGAAAAGCGTCATGTTACGAGAGTGAAAGGGTGAGGTGGCGAGGGTCATGGGTTGGTAGTTAGACGGTAAGGCTGCAGTTATTTGATCGCTGACTGGACATTAACAGGACAACAGTACACTATAAATGAGGGGGGCGGAGGGATCTCAATCCAAACATGGATGAAATGGCAGAAAAGCCAGACCTGGTTTTGAATAGATCCCGCACAAAGACACCCAGGCCTTTGTTACTCACAGACTTTTCTACGTCTGAATTCGCCTCAGAGTGACTGGAGAGGATGGAGGGAGAAGAAAAAGGGTGTGTGTATGTGAGTGTGTGTGTGAGAGGAAGGGAGGATGGAGCACCTAATACCCGTGGGAGCCCTCGCTGGAGCCCTTGCTGGAGTCTGGCTTCTGCTGAGACACTGGACTGGTCGGCTTAAGAAGCTGGCATCTGGCACCGGTGACCAATTAATATGTCAACTGTGAATCCGCCAACCTCTCCTTCATCTGAGCTGGACACACGTGGGCATGTGCTCTCAACATACACAGAAATGCTCCTGCTGCCCCCTCTCTTACACCATGCTGAGCAGCTGTTAATGTCCCGCTCGTCGAGCTGGGTCTGGTTACGGTCGGAGACGTGCCGCTTCCGCCCACTAGTGCTCGTGGGCGTGGAGACGTGCCAGGTGGCTGTGATGGCTGAAGGCTGTCAGCATGCAGAACAACTGTAATGGAGACATTCATGCACGCCTCCTCCTGAAGCATGCAGCAGCCAACAACAACAGCAATAACAGTTGCTATGCTGGAACTTTATCGCCTAGGCTCAGATGTCTTTTTATGATTATTTTTATGATGGGTGTACAGTGGAGGGGGACAAAGAAGGACAGTGGCATTCGAAACAGCCGGAGTTCAACCTGCGATAATGCAGGAACATTAGGTACCTTTAGTCTGTTGCGTACTACCAGCTGTCTGCTTTACAGACCATACAAATATATTTTCACAATTATCTTTTTACTACGAGTGAAAATAATAGCTCTAATTGTTTCTTTCTGTACTATAGTCATAACAATTGTAAACCAAAGAGGTGGGTCAGCATTTCTTAACAGGTTCCCTCATCTCGTCTTGCTTAGAGGCCTAAAATAAGTCCTGTGGTCAATACAAGCTCAAGAAATTCTAATGCCAAGTGATGTCAGTAAATATTGAAGCTTTTAGCTGCCTTAGAAAGGTGGGTTTTAGCAGCTCACTGGAAGACCAAATAAAAGAGAGGTTATAGCAATAAGCCCATCTCTAGGTAAATCATCTACTCAGTATTGGCTGTAAAGCCCCTGTCACACTGTCCCGAAATTGACACCCGATGGACACACGATAAAGGAAATGTTCAAATTCGGCTGTGATCGTAGCAACATCGGGCCATTCGTGAGGGCATCTAAGCCATCCTATGACCGCCGGTGGAGTTTCTCAGGCTCCGGCAGCAACTTCGTGAGCGGCAACTTCGTAAGGCACTCGTGAGGGCATCTTGTCAAATCGTGTCATCTTTGTGTTATCATCGGTGCATTCACCCTCACTCTGATCGGGGCGAATGCCCGATGGCACCGATGATAACAAGATGCCCTCACGATGGCCTTACGAAGGGCAAAATTGACACACAAATTCAACACGAAAATGAACCTTCGCAAGGTCCTTCGGCAATTTTTTGGCATGCCAAAGAT